CTTCAACTGATATTCCAACTGATACTTCAACTGATATTCCAACTGATACTTCAACTGATATTCCAACTGATACTTCAACTGATATTCCAACTGATACTTCAACTGATATTCCAACTGATACTTCAACTGATATTCCAACTGATACTTCAACTGATATTCCAACTGATACTTCAACTGATATTCCAACTGATACTTCACCTCCAACTGATTCTTCAACTGATACTCTAACTGATTCTTCAACTCCAACTGATTCTTCAACTGATACTCTAACTGATACTTCAAAACAAACTGATTCTTCAACTGATACTTCTCTAACTGATTCTACAACTCCAACTGATAGTTCAACTGACACTCCAACTGATACTCCAAAAGATACTCCAACAACACCACCTGTAACCCCAACAACTTCAATTTTAACTCCAAAAACTCCAACTCCAACTGTAACTCCAGCAACTACAACTTCATCAGTCACTTCTTATTCTATTCCATCTGAAACAGCCACCACAGCTAGCTTTTCTTGTAATGCATGTTCAGTTGAAACTTCGGTGTAATTTATTCTAAAATTCTATTTTTCAAGTCTTGTCATATTTCAAATATTTTAAATACATGTGTTATCTTGACTACGTGTTTCGATTAAATTATTTCTTATTTTTCTATACAAAATTATAGGAATACCTCTATCACGGGTGAATGTTTTACATCAACCGAACCAGATCCACAATCGGAATCGGGAAGTAGTATTCAAACTACTCTTAGTATAACTACTATTACTCCTGGTCCTTCTGGTTCTACTACTGCTACACATAGTCGTACTTCAAAAACAGTACATTCGACCACCACTTTCTACACTACGACCACGATAATTTATCCAGGTTATACTACAACTTATTGGGTGACTACAAATGGAGTAGCAAGTCCAACTGAAAAATATATTCCTCCAAGTACCGTGATTATCGTTAGAAAAGTTACCGCAGAAGCTGTTGTAGAAATTGTTGGTGATGCTACTGCTACTACTACTCTTTCTTCTAATGCTGGCGATTCAATTAACAATATATGGAAAGATAATTTAAATAGTATGATTATTTGTTTGTGGGCGATTGGTGTTACTTTTGTTTACACGATTTTGATTAATTTGTAATACTAAACAAAGGGACATTTTAAATTCCTTTAAAGTTGTAATCGGATGAAATATTCATATTGTGTTAATTGATTTAAATATTATGTACATTGTTTTTATGTTATAGATTCATGTTTATATGAAATTTTTAATAAATAAATTGAAATATATATATATATATATACATATATTCCATTGTTTCCTATTTTCAACACGATAATTTAAAAACAAAAAGAAAAATGCCTTTAACAAAACTTTATTGAACTTTTTAATAACAATGGATTGCTACAATGTAATCATTGAAGTTGAAAATCTTTACTACACATTCTAACAAATTGAAATATCGATCGATCGTAAGTAATTGAGATAGTTACCAAGTCAAGTCAAATTATTTGATATTCTTAAGTTATTATCAATAATTAGGGGTGCGGACATATAATTAAACCTGAACTAGGTCTTTATTATTTTTACGTCATTACGTCATAGTGTAGTTTATCTTATAATAGGTCGTGAGACGTGATTATAGCATATGGCGTGGTTGTTGTATAAGACGTGAATAGGTTATTGGTGTGGTAATTCAGAAATATGTGGATAATTAAGTTAGTTCCGCTTTTCTTAACTGATGACTTTCTATGATAACATGAAAATAACAAGATTTTATTTTGTTACATGTCATTCACTACATAACAACATATTGACGTGCGACATAAATTGCGACACACGACAATTCTTAGATTAAAAAAAATACGGTACATTTACGTTTATGACGTGACGTGATGTCGCCGTAATTAAAACTTTATGTCCGCACCTCTATCAATAACAGACTATTAAATATCAAAATACTGTATTATCTATTTATAAATTTATTTATTTATTTTTAGCAAAGAAAACTTCAAATATTTAGAAAGCCTTTGTAATGATATTATAGCAAGTATCCAAATATTATTTTTGAAAGTTCAGGTTCTCTTCAAGAATCTGCACTAATATCTCTTCCTTTCTTTCATTTTGCCCATTTTCTATTTTTCTTGTATCTTCGATAATTCATCAAGTGATTTATTCAACTTACCTTCATTGATGTTGTCCTTACCTCTACTAAGAATTTTTTTTTCTCAAAAAAAAAAAAAAACGAAATTATCAATGAAATAATATTTTATTAAATTTTTAAGATATTGAATTTTGTTGATTTATTTATGGGGATACATAAAAAAAATCTCAATTACAAAGTTGAATTCAAATAAACATTTATAGAGTTAAAACTTTATAAAATATTTAAAATATTTAAACATGATATTTTATTAATTATATATTAGTAAACTTAAAATGTCGAAGCATTTTTTTTGATTAAATTAAATGCTATTTGTTTGTTAATAATGTTAATAAATTATTAATCAAATACTCAAATATACGTCATAATCCTTTAGTTATGATGATAAGTCTATATACACACCATATTATTTATGTTGTTTCATTTATGAATCCAAATTTTATAAATATAAAAATAACTAAAATAAATAGGATTTGAAAATTATTCTTACAGTAAAAAAATAATACAAAAAAAATTTATAAAGGAAAAGCTTTTTTTTTTGAATTACAAAAGTGCAAAATTATCTATTTTATCCATTTCTTTAACAATAATAACAATTAACAATATTAATTGTGATTCGTGAATTTAAAATTTTGTAGTCAATTATTTATTTATCAAAATAAAATCATTAATTTATTCCAAGAATATTACCTAAAATTTTACGTGAATTATGCAATCGATGAAGAGTATACATTGTCATTTTATATTTTGAAATATTATCCTTTTTCATCAGCAATCATAAGTTGTTCCATAATGTTATTATCGACTATATTATTATCCAATTTATTTAAATAAATCAGCCAATTCACCAGATTGATAAATCATGTTTGGATACATTCGAAATCCCATTATTTAGTCTAGTCTTACACCATTAAATATATCAATCAACTAATAGGTATCATGTGCTTTAGTCGTTATGAAGTAGCTATTTCATACGTAATTCTACCAAAACTATAAATACTGTACATGCAGCTCCCTCTATTGTGGATGTGATTCCTTGTAATATTTTGGGAGTAATATATGGAATTGGTCCATAAATATGATTTTTTTTTGTTATCAGATTTTAATATTGAATCATCTAATCTATTTTAACCTGAATCTAAAAATAGTGCTTACAAATAACTCAAATGAGAATTAATAAAAATATTTTCACTATGAATGTACTTCCATGTGCATATCCTTTTAAATTTAGAACAAGTGTTATTAATGTTTCAATTTTTATTTTGCCACTATTCACTGTAAATAAAACTATGCATAAGAATGTAGTTTGAAATTCCTAAATATTCAATAATTCCACAAAAATCATTATTTATCATTACAATCTTAATACAAAATATAATAAAAGACAAATTAATTAATCGCATAAACAAAATATTTTTATTGATAACCTAAATATATAAAGTAAAATACCGCCTTAAGAAATTCGGTTATATCATATTGAGAATCTTTTAATTCTTCGCTACAAATTTCCAATGTTCCTAATGTACCAATCTTATTTGAATATCCAATTTCAAAATCTACAATAATATGCAGGTCCTCCTAAAGGACTGTGATATATAACACGAATATTATCATAGGTATCCATTACAGATAACCTTTAAACTCCGTAATCAATTCTTAAGATTCTTGGATAACTTTATCAATTTTAGTATTCCACTAGACAAGTTCCAAATTTTTGAATAAAATGTTCTTTAACACACAAAGTACAAGCTCCATTTCCGCGATAAAGATTAGAAGAATGACAACCTGGACAATGTATTCTTGAGAAGAAATCTGAATGTGAAAGGAGTGGATGAGAAGACATGGAAAAAAGATAAATAAACGTTATTTGTTAATGAATTTATTTTTATTTTTATTTGAATTTATAACAGAAAATAAGTATTGATCACAAGATTATCTTTGCCTTTCTACTAAAAACTTTGATTTGTTGATATTTTAATGATATCTAATGCAATTTCAAAAGTATCTCATTAAAATCTCTTGATATGATGGAATCCTATAAAGATCCCGGAAAATTCGATTTTTACTGGAACGAGATATTATGAACCATTGTCGTTTATTGTTGAAATATTATGCAAATTCAAATATTTTGAATAATACTTGGATTAATCCTTTATTAGAAGAAATATCAATAAATACATTTTTTTTATCAAATTTTATTTAATTGATTTATCATTTGTAGTGAATGTATAATTAAAATATAATAAATATTTAAAGCTTAAATAATACACAAAATATAAAATATTAAACAAATTAAAAAAATAGATATTTGACTAAATAATTTTTATACCTAAACGATGAAGCTTTTTCTTTATTTTTTTCGATCAATTATTCTCTGTTAAAATTATGATTATTATTAAATAAATAAAAACAAGATGATTTGAAATTAATTAATTGTAATTTAATGAATTAATAAAAAAATTAACTAAATATTAGTTATTATTTTGCATAAATTATGATAATAATTATATAAATAGTATATAAAATTTATTAAATTGTTTTTCATATTTTTCCGGGAAGTATTAAAGCAATTGCAACGTTGTCTCAATTTTTTATTATAGAAACTTTCATACGTATAAGTTATAATCTTAATTATTTATTAATAATAATAATATTTTTTTTATTGGTACCCTCCTTTAATATTGGAAACAATTTATAGGATTTCAAATATAATGATAGGTAAGTTTTATTCCTAAATCTAGGGAAAGATTAGTAAATTTATATTATTAATTTTTAAAATATTTTATTAATGGGAATTTTTTGATTTGATCATTTGATGAAAATACAGTTCAAGTGATTTAATATGGGAGGCAACCTTTTTTTACATCTGAAATCTTTAACACTTTTATAATTATAATTGTAATTCTTATTATTACTTAATGTTAATTCTTTTAGTAACGATCACATGAGAAATATCGAATTTAGCTATTTATCATTCCTAATGGTTTTCCTAATTCGTGATTACGGTGATTGGGTCCGTTCGCTCTTTACTAAAAAAGATAATATCCTGTAAAACTTTGGCTGCGTTGTACAAAGTTCAGGAAAAAATGTTGATATTTCAACTATTTCAAGAACGATTCTATTAATAACTTTTAATCTAAGTAGTAATGTATTGTTCAAAATTCCAAATATATTAAATATATTTTTGTCATTCTTACTCGTTAGTATAAAAAATCTATTCCATTACTTGGCTATCTTAAAAATAACCGCATAATCCATATATATATATTATATAATTTTTGTTTCCAATTAATATTATTAAAGTTAGTTTTTAAATATTCTCGAAAATTTCATCTTTAGCATATTCTAAACCGTCATGTGTTTCTGGATCTTGTGTAATTCCATAAATTTAACTGAATAAAAATTTCTCTGTTTTTTAAGTGAATTGCTATCTAATAAAATAAACATTTTTAATTTATAGATAGAATAATTTGAAAATCAAATTTAAATATTAATTAAAATTTTTACTTCGATTAAGGCATTGTTGAAATTCACAAAATTATCACGTATTTTTATTTCTTTTCCATTATTGATTTTCAATATTCCATTTATCAATTCGTCTATCAATCCAGCATCACGAGTTATACCAAATCCACTTCTGCTCTTTTGTTTAACATCATTGAATCTGTCCTAAGGTATCCATTCTATTATTTCTAATTTGATTTTTAGTATTTAGTTGAGCACCTTGAATAAATTTATCTATATTGTCATTTCCACTTGCCAATCATTAAAATTATTTTCGATTTACATGGTTTACACCACGCTATCGGTGAATCTTTGATTACATTCTGGGCATATATACGATGCCATTTTTTCTTGCTTATAGAATGAAAGGTAAAAATTTATTATTATTTTTTTCTTTTGAAAAAAAGCGTTCATTACGTTTAAAAATTTCAAGTTGTTTTTAGCATGCAAAAAATCGCATTACTTAATGACATTTTATTATTTTATAATCTTTCTATTAAAGGCAATTTCTTCTGATTTCGGTAATGTCATACGAAATTCATTAAGAAATTATGTGGTAATATTTTACATTGTGCGAACTTATGAACTAAATTTGTTACAATTATGCTATTTTTTCCGAATGAATTAAGTATAATACGCCGCATTTATTTAATAATCACGCGAAAAAATAGACATTTATTTTTTTTTTCTGGGTGAATGGTTTGAGGCAATAACTGTCATTATTATTTATTATTATTATTATTATTATTAGTATTTTATCATTAATATTTATAATTATTTATTATTAATTTTTATTTATTATAAACCTATTTATTACCTACAAAAAATAAATAAAATATTAAAAAATACGAAAAACTTACCACAACTTCAAGTATCAGGTCCTTTACTTTCTTTCAAAGGAAATCATAATAAAAAGGACCATGATTATAAGGCGTTATAAGCTATCCATAAACGCGTTGACCCTTTCACATTTTAAAATTACCTATACCAACAATTAGATTATGAATGAGACATGAAAATTAGGATCGTATGATTTTGAATCTGATCGGTTTGACACCGGACTGGGACATCGTCAGCATGAATTGTTTGGTAAAGTGAAGAGTAATTGCGGAATTCATTTTATTTATTTTTTTGTGGAAATGAAGTTTGTTTTTGTGACTATGATTTTTTTTGTGAAGAAGGGGAAGAAAGATTATGTATTCATAAAAAATTTTTTTAAAATAATCAAATCTAATTAAATGATTAAATTATAATTAACAGTTAAGACTAACACAAATTGTATCGAATTTTTTAATTTATTTAATATTAGTTAATTAACTTTTTATTTATTTATTATTGATTTATAGCTAAATTCAGAGCTGTACATTTTAAATGTCCAAGAACTTTTTTGACTGTCCAATGTCCGCGTTCGCGCATCCCGTATCATTAACTAGCTTGTGGGCATATATCAAGCCTTTTTAAATACTGAACACATTAATTTATAGCTTAGGATAGATTTTTTAAACAAAATTTTGCTTTATTTAAGTTTAAAATGAAATTTTTGTTCAAACATTGTCTAGTAGTGTCCCTTGGCAATACTGGTTGAATCTGCTGACGAAATATAGATCGAAAATAAATTATTGTACTAGAATTTATTTATTGCTTGAAAAATTATTGCATTAGTATTTCGAAATAATTACTATAGAAATTCTCTTTGTAAACACACAAATTTTAAACCCAGTCATTATGAAAATATAGAAGAAAAACAACTATATAAGCACAACCTCTATATAAGCACATTTTTAGAAAAAAAAAGGCATTATGTGTCCAATGGTCTTTAGTTATAATTATTGAGAACAAAAAAAGGAGATTTACTTTCCATACGAAGTCCATTTATTTAATTACTAATTAAATGTGTTATTTAGTCATTGATTGAGTTTAACACTAAAATTGTGTAAACTTGTGATCAAAATGCATAACCTCAAAAACATGCCGAATTAATTAATATTGTTGTTATTATATTGTCTTCCGTGATTTTATTCGCTCCACCTCCTCAGAAATTATTAGAAATGATAATCATTATATTTATTGATAATTGTAATAATAATAATTATTCAATTGAAAGTTCAAATATATATATATATATTTAATTTTGATTTTTTAAACCCACCCAACCCATTGCATTCATTTTAAATTATTTTAATTAGTTTAATTGCTTAGATTATTTGATTTTAAAGATTTTTAATTATTTCGAATATTTTGATATTTCGATTACAATTAATTTGATTATTAGATTATTTGATTAACATGAAATTGATCATTATCAATAGTATCAGTATTTATATCTCCATGAAAAAAAAATTGAAATAAAAATTATGATAAATCAAATAATATATAATATATAAGTTTGAAGTGAATTGATGATCAGTTGTTTATTCTTGGTTAATTACTCAATTAAGTACTTTTCATTATTTTCATTTGAATGCGAATCTTCAAGAATTTATTATAAAAATTCTTGAAACAAAAAATACAAACTTTAGTAATATTGTCTAGAATTTTATTTCAAAATTACATTCAATACATTCTCAGCAATTTTTAAATTATTAAAGATTATGATATTAACTTTATATAATTTAAGTCCTAAGCAAGTAATAACAATATTTAATAATGATTTTAATGAAATTTAAGAATATTTTCATTTGGTTGTAGAGGAGATGGAATTTGAAACTAATTAATTATTATATAAATGGCCGTGAATATACCAGAATTACTTGAAACTATTAAAATTATAATGGCTCATGAAAGTCCATGGATATCTAATGTTGGTAGTTTAAGAATTTTTTGAAGGTTGGGAGGGGAAATAAAAAGATTATTGTAAAATATACACAACACTCGTGACTATTTATTATTGTTAAAATTAAAATCAAAATTAAAATTAAACTAATTTATCGTCAAAGTTAATTAAAAATAGTTGACTTAGGAATAATTTTGAACATTTGATGATTTTCGTTCTTAATAGCGTTATCTAATTCTTTATCAAAGTAAGGTGAAGATGAATTACATTATAAATGACCATTTGACCAAGTCATATGGATTAGCCAATCAAAAAAATAATTATTTTATTATAAAAAATATGTGTCATGCAGATCAGAGGTCACAATATTGAGGGCCCTTAATCTGTACACCCCATACTGATATATTTTCTAATCCTGCGCACCCTCCGAATTTCATTGGACCAGAATTTTACAGGTGATAAGAATTTTCTCACGTTCTATTTCATGTGACAAATTATAAGTGACGAATATTTGATGACAAATACGGTTTCCGCATTCTAAGTCCCTAGGATATTTAATAAAAGTTGATATTCGAAAGGTGTGACATACGGTGATAAATATACCTACCCTGATAAACCCTAATCCTAACCCTGCGGTACACGATAAGAGTCTTAATCCTATTCACACCCTTGAATATTAGTAAATCAAATGCCACAATGAAGTATAACCAATTAAATTTTGCATTTGATGATTCGTTTTCATTACATATAACTTATGACTGTTGGTCATATGAACATATGAACAGACCTGGTCATTTACCAACACTGCGACTGATTGTGCAATAAAAATTTCTAATTATTTCGGATCAATATACGTGTATAAGGTGTTGTGACAAGTATTAATAAAAAAAGTTGATAATAACTCTAAACATCTTCATAAAGTAAGAGAGGGCAGTGTACAAAAGACACCAATTGATGGTACAAGAGAAAGGAAAGTTAGACGAGGAGAAATAGAAGAAGTAGAAATTTTTACAAAAAGTTCAATAATAGAAACATTCTCACTATCAAGTTTTGAAAATGATGGCGAAAGGTAATGTGAGAAAGTAGAAATTTGATCTATTATAATCATAAGTTTTAGAATTTTTTCTTCGTTTCACTTTTCTATTATAAATGTGTAAACTTTTATTAAATAATTATAAATATTTAAAATCAGTAGATTGAATAGAGATAGTAACGGTAATAGTAAGAGATCTTAAATGTTTTAAAACTAAATCATTTAATTTAATAGTCCCATTACGAACAAGGATACTTTTAGTAGTCTAAATTAAGTGTAATAAATATTAAATTATTATAAATTATAATTATTAAACTAAAAATTAATTAATTAATAAAAGTTTAATAAATAAATAATTACCAATTTTCCATGAATAATAATATTATCATTTAACTTCATTAAAGAATTTGCAGTTTGTTTTGCCAAATTTAATTAAATAAATTTTATTTTCAAATATTGACGAAAAGAACCATTATTTGCATGAGTCTTGATATTCTCTGTAATAAATAAATTATAAAGTACTGTAAAAAAGTTAATCATTTTTACCTTGTTTAATAATGCCATAAAACTTAAGAATACTGTCATTAGTTTCCAATTTTCAATGTCTTTTAACCTAAATAAATAAGCAAACAAAAAAAAAAAAAAAATACTAAAAATTACAAATAACATATTTGTATATTTAACAATAAACTCAATTCATTTATAAAATTATTCAAAGTAAAATTGTTATTTCAAAAAATACATTTAAGAATCACTACTTCACTACGCTGAGAATCAATTTTTTAGTATGAGCTTTACAAACATTTTTACAATTTTTATTAATTAATTTCACATTTTCAAATTTCGAATAATGATAAAATTATCTTTAGAACTATTATTAAGTACGTAGTATCATTATTATTTTATATTTGTTTTTATTTTTTTTTTCCTGAGACATTTGAAATATATTTTAAAATAAATAAGAATGAATATACGCCAAATTAAACTGCCTTTGAGCAACTAATTAACACTGTTCAAAAAATATTAAATAATTTATTTCATGATCCAATTTTACATATTTGCGTAATATTTACACAACCCAGGATAGTACACATATGTATATATGATTCGGTCGGAAATTCATTAAGGAAAATGGAAATTAAAATTTTATTTTGTGAAATACAAAGTCACGATTCATTAAGGTAATAAAATATCATAAATAAGAAGCGTTTTTAAGGCTCAGGAGAACTTTGTTATCTTTGAATTTTTATTTTACCATCCAAATATTTACATTATATTTAGTTAGATTTAAAGATTCAAATTCAGCAATTTTATTTCTAAAAAATCAAGTTCCATTATATGGATTGTTGTTTCATTTATTGAATTATATTTCATCTAGAAGTACCGAAATTTCAATTGAAAATTAAATTGAAAATTTAATTAATAAAGAAAAATGTCAGTTGTATAAGCTATTTATATCGTTTCTTGTCATTTTTTTTATTTAGTATGAGAATTCATTCATATAAATAAATTCGTAAATTTATTTTATTACAAGTATCATTAAAAAGTTAAAAAAAATATTCTTGTTTACATTACAGTGACGACAATTAAGGTACCTTACATTGGCTTATGGTTATTAAATCAATAATGCATTTTTGTTTTGTGCATGCAAGAGTTAATTATTCTCAGTATTTATTTTTAATATTAAAATTTAGATAGTGAAATTTGAATTATGATCAAAAAAAAATAGGTTGATACAATAAATATTAATACAATTTGAAATCTGTATTCATTAAAATTTATTTATATCTAATATATTCTTTATTCCAAAAATAAAAATTCCAATAATTAATCTAAATTAAATAATAGTAATTTTCTAAACAAGTTCATATTTTCATTTAGAGGAGATTTAAGGAAAGAGCTAAATTAATTAGAATTAATATTGTTTCACATCAAAAGGATTGATTAAGTTGAGTATTTCGTTTATTTTAATTAAATATTAAATATTTTATAAATTATTTTAAATTTCATTAATTTCATTAAGAATTACCTTTACTTTTACTTTCTTAGACACGAAAATATTAATTTCAATAAGGATCTATATTCATGACCAATTATTTGATTATAGTAATTTCCATTCTCAAAAAATGATTTATAGGTCTTTCCTTCTTAAATGAATATTTGGCATATCAATTACGATTTTACTTGCATTTTGTGTTTTAGAACAGTATACAATAATTATAATCTTGTTATTTAATTTAAAATTTACTTAAAAAAAAGTCATTTGAATGAAATCAAAAAAAAAAAAATTTATAAAAGGTGTCCATTTAATTTATTATTTTTACCCTTCCTTAATCACTGTGATAAACAAATTTTAGGGATAATGCATCCATTAAAATTTTTTAATGATTGTTATTTTTTTTTTTTTATTATTTATCGCACAATTAATTATTACTCAAATTTACTAGCAAAGATTTTAATTCCTAAATAAGGGCCTCTCATTGTAACTATAATCATTTAAAGGATCAAGCCAACGAAAACATTCTAATTCTTGTTTATCATTATAATATCCAATTAATCGGAAAGAAATTCGAAGTTTAACGTTTTATCTTTTTTCAATTAAACAAAATATCATGCATGAAAATATAAATAAATTTTTATACCAAGATTGCTTTTGATGTTATTTTTTTATATTTTTTTTTTTCGCAATTCACTTTGATTTACTTTAAATATTTATAGCACGAAACCAAATGTAAGTGATTGCTTGACAACGTAGCATGAAAATAAAAATTTATTTATTTTTATTTTTATTTCTTTTTGTAATATGTATTTATTTTTTTTTAGCCGATGTAGCTTCAAGTTCTATCTTTAAATCGAAATAAAAATTTATTTTTAATTACGCCGATGAAACTATTTATTTTATTAAAAATCAATCGCATTTGTGACAATTTATGAAAGATGATCATTAAGGAACAAATTGATTATACTCGCAAAAGGTTCGGACTGTAGTACGACTTGGAATTTCAAAATGAAAATAAAAATAATTATTTTATTAAAATTTCTATGGCGTTGATATCAGTCATTTCTTACGAAGATCATTTCCTTTTTTCCAAAAAGGAGTGATTTTCCTTAAAAATATTATGCTTGATAATAGCAAATTGTCTATTTCCATTGTTTTCCACGTTCAATTTTTTTTTTTTTTTTCAAAATTTACAAAAAAAATAATGTCTTTGAATTTTTTTGACAAGTTATCTCAAGATTTTATTGAACTTCTTAATGACAAAGATGATTATAATGTAATCATTGAAGTTAAGAATAAAGAAAAATCATTTACAGCACATTCCAACGTATTGAAATTCCGATCGTCTTATTTTCGAAGAGAATTAGAAAATATTCAACCAAATGAAAATAATGTTAAAATAATTATCAAGTCAAAAATTTCTGCTCAAATTTTAAATGTCATTCTTCAGTAAGTTGTCATATAAATAATATAAATAATATAAACACTATTGCCTGTATTGAAATTTTATTTTTATTTATTATTATTTTTTTCAGATACATCTATGGAGGAATTCTTGATTTAGAAAATTGTGAAACCAGATTTATTTATGATTTAATGTTAGTTGCTGACGAATTTGAACTCGAGGAATTAACCAAAAAATTAGAAACTCATCTTTTCGAAACTAAAGGCTCCTGGTTGAGAAAACATTTTTCTTTTATTTATCATTCTATTTTTAGTCAAAAAAATTTCAAAAAATTAGAAAACTTCTGTAATGATGTTATTATAAAACATCCAAACCTTATTTTTGATGCTGAGAATTTTACTTCTATCGAAGAATCTGCACTGGTCTCTCTTCTCGAGCGAAATGATTTACAAATACAAGAGATTAAAATTTGGGATTATGTCATCAAGTGGGGAATCGCTAAAACTTCTACTCTTCCCACAAAACTTGATGATTGGACCACGGAAAATTTCCTTACTCTAAAAACTACTCTACAACAATGTCTACCTCATATTCGCTATTTTCATTTTTCAAGTATTGAAATTGCTGATAAAATTAAACCTTACAAAGAAATTATTGATAAACAACTTTGGGAAGATATAAGTCAACATCTATTAATTCCTGATCACCCATTAAAATCAACTATTTTGCCACCGAGATCAGTTTTGACCACTTTTTCAACTATAATTTCTGAGGAACATGCAGCAGAAATTTCTACATGGATTGACCGTAGGGAAATTGCATATACTTTAACAAATATTCCATATAAATTTGAATTAATCTTACGTGGAACTCAAAGTGGATTTGCACCACAAACATTTTGGAATATCTGCCATGGTCACGCTTGTACAGTTGTTTTAGTAAAAGTTGCAGGAACAGATGAAATTGTAGGAGGTTATAATCCATTAGTATGGGATGAAAATAATCTTTTTGCGGAAACAAAAGATAGTTTTATTTTCTCATTAAAAAATGGTAATATTGAAAATTCAATTCTCAGCAGAGTAAAAAATTCAAAGTATGCGATTATTAATATGCCCAAAAAGGATCAAAAGGAATGGGGTCCATGCTTTGGTTTCGATTTTGGGTTGTTTAGTCCTGAATCTAATTTCACTTTAGGTAATTGTTGTTTCTGTAGAAGTGATGATAACATTAAGTATGAAAAACCTATAAGATCATCATCAGCGGAATACTTTTCAATATTTAATTATGAAGTATTTAAGATTGTTAGAAAAACTATTTAAAACTCTACGCTTTAAAAATAACATTTTATGTTATTCTTTATTCTCATTTTATATGTGTCATATTTTATAGTAATTTTAACTTTGCTTTATACTTATCAATTTATCTTTAATTAAATATTGATTTGTTTATATCTACTCAAATTTAAATTTCATCAGTTTTATGAAAAGAATTGAAAAAATTGAAATTATTAGTTCTTAGAAAAAATACTTTGAAATTCGATTTTCAAATCTTAAACTTTCGGAACTGCTATTATTATTAGTAATTAGAAAATTATTCAAGAAATTAAAATTTTATTACATTTCAAATATTCATTTTATTCATTCATTTATTTTTTAACTCGTGAAAATTTTAGTAGCGATAGGCAATGGTATGGTGATTTCAATTGGAAAGTAATATATCAAATTGAAAACGTTATATCACACCAGTGTGTTGAACACCATAACCTATACCGCAGGGGTTAGGATATTGTATGTATCACCGTGTGTCACACCCTTCGAATATCAATTTTTATTAGATATCCTAGGGACTTAAAATTTTTTACATGCGAAAGCATATTTATCACCGAATATTTATCACACTTGAAATAATTTCAATCACCTGGACACCATGTGTCTATAATCAAATTATATGTTTTATTTTTATTGGTTGATAATGATACATTATTTATTTTATTTATTCGTTTAAATAAAATATAATTTTTTTATTGTTTTTATTATTATTACGATAGTAATTTATGAATCTTTAGTCATCATCATCATTATTATACTTTATATTGTATATTTAAATTTTTTACAAGAATCGTAGTTTATATTTTTTTATGAAATTTTGTCTTTTAATAAAAGAACAAATGCATAATTAAAAAAAAATGAATAATGAATTACGACCTCAAAAATAATAGATTTGATGATAGTCTTAGCTGATTATCTTTTTCAAAAAAAAAAAAAATTTCTTGGGATTAAAAACTTTATCCTGTCACATTGAAATTATAGTATTAAAAAAAGTGTAAGATATATTATTTTTAATATATATAAAAAAACACATGTATTATAACGTTTTAATGTCACTATTATTTACTAGGTTATATGAACTCTAATAATTATAGAAATGTTATTTAATATTGAATTATTATAGTGATTTTAATTTTAATAATTAAAGGACAGTAATTATATTATCTTATAGTTCTTTAATGAAAATTTCATTTGGAGTTAATTATATTTCATTTATTATTTGCCTATTTATATATATAAAGAAATCTATATTTCAAATTAAGCTAATTTATAATTTACAAAATAAAACTAATTCAGTAAAAATATATAAAGTTAAAAATTAGAAATATCCAAATTAATTATTCCTGAATCTCCTAAATAACATAGAAATGTATTAATATTATTTATTTATTATAAACAAAATATAACAATTCCTACCAGGACATAAATCAGACATAGATTTAGTTAATTATTCAATTCCCTTTCAAAATTTTTCTTCATTCTTGAGTTTTAATTAAGAAGTCGACTGATATAAATTGCATGTGTATGTGTTCGATAGTTAAGAGGAGAATTATTCGCTGAGCTGATTCTTGATTTGCTAAAAATTCTTCAACTTTTTTAATTTGAATTCCGATTTCTAAATCTTTATTTTCTTTTTTTCTCACCATATAAATAATTTAACATTAATCATTAATATTTTTTGGAAATTTTTTGTACATGTCAAGTTATAATAATATTTAACATTATAAAACGTGCATTATAACGTACTACATATTGAAATAGTCGAATTTGTAGCAATAACACTCGTTATACACTTAATTTAATGAAAATTTATTATCGATAACTCCATTAATTCCATCATTATTGTTATATCAACAGTCATTGTCATCGTTCATTCTATCACCCGTCACAATTGTCATTGTCATCCTTTCATTATTATCACTGTTAAGATCGCAAACATGATTTCAAAGGAGGAAGAAGTAAGTATATCTTTTATTATTATTATTTTTTTTAAAAAAAAATAAATTAAATAAAAATATTTACTAACAAGAATATACGTCTGTCTCGTCTCAAATCCCAAACCTGCAAATAAGAAATGAGCATAATTTTTTTTATTTATATTTTTTTGGAATATATATATATATATATAATAAAAAACGCTTACTGAATCTGAATATATTAACATTATCGTTATTATTCTATCATTATCCTCAGATACCTTTATTATTTTCATCGATGTCACCAATATATTCATTGCTTCCATTTTCATTAATATTTTTATCAATTTTGGCATCATTTATAATATATTTGACATTTTATTGTCAACATCTTTAGGATTATTTAATCAAAAAGATTTTTTTCAAGATCTAATTTTTATTTTAAAATTTGTTAATTTCTGATTCGCAGGAATATAAATTTAATTCCATAGAGAACTAAAAAATAATAAAAAAACAATACCTACGTTTTATTCTGAACTCATAAACTCAATTTCAAGGATAATCCAATTCCAAGAAGTGTAAGATTTTTTTTTCTAAAAAGCACAAGTTTATCTGTTGCAAACTCTAGGAGAATTTTTTTCACAATAGAGATAATTTACATGCAATATGTATAAATTTCATTTAATACTGAATATAATCGTTATTAATCATAAAATTGCAGTTTATAATTTTAACAATCAATGGGAAAGGTCTTAACAATATATTTTCATGCTTTAATAAAAAACCACTATAAATTAGTAACAAACATAATATAACATAAATATTTGTTCTTTGTCAAGTTGGTAGATTTCTATTGTTGTACATGATTATCGTCTTTTCTCAGTATCTGCAGTAACTTTTTGTACTACAAACCACCGAAACAAATAATTTGTCCTGAGCGTAACATAGGATATTTAATGGACGAGTAAAGTGATACGAAATTCCGTTTTTAATGCTTTAAAAGTTCTAATCTTGATGCATCATTTATTTGATTCGCAAATATAAAATATCAAAAATGTAACTTGGGTTAGGTGTCTATCCAATTTTTTGGCAACGATTGTACAAATGAAACGAGATCACACAAATGAAAATAGAAATAATTTATGCTCCGGACTATACTAATTAAATAATGATCACAAGAATTATCCAATTTTTTTTTTATCTATCTCTTTTCAGAAAATTGGTAATTATTTCTTTTATAGAAATAAATTACAAGTGAATTATTTTTAATTAGAACTAGCTTTCTCCCGTGGCTTCGCCAAGGGATTTTTTTTTTGTTATTTATTTTTTCTCCTTTTTTTTTTACTATTTTTATTATTGTCTTAATCTTATTTACATATGAATCTGTCTGTTCGTTTTTATGTTTCTGATTAGTTGCTATTTAATTTTGTGTTAGAGGTGTCTGTTTTTAATTTTGTGTTGTGTTTTACGTTCTGTAATTAGTGTAGATTTTGTTAATTTTGTTGTGAGATCAATTTAATGATGAAAATTTCATGTGGGAAGGTGTTAGTGTATATATTTCAAAGTTTTGGATTGGATGTATAATGGAACCGCTAAAAAAAAATTCGTGAGTATTTGTAATTAAAGAAAAATTCATTCAATCCTTTTGTAAGCCAGCTTGGCGAAAACAAGTAGTCAATTACTTTCATGACTACTGAACAGTTTTAATTAGTCGCTCATTTGCAGTTACTTGACCAATGTACTAGAATTATGTCACAAAATTCTGGAAGTGTAAAAAATTCGTGAATATTTGCGATTAAAGAAAAATTCATATTTCAATCCATTTGTCAGCCTAGCGAAAAAAATATTCAATTACGTTCATACCTTCTGAACAGTTTTAATTAGTCACTAAAAGGTAGTTTACTTTGACCAATGTATTAAAATCATGTCTTAAATTTTTGGACGTAAAATGAAACAGTAAAAAATTCATGCGTATTTGTAATCTTTCAATCCGTTTGTAAGCCAGCTTAGCAAAACAAATATCCAATTACTTTCATACCTTCTGGACAGTTTTAATTAGTTGCTCAAAGGCAGTTTACTTTATAACGTAATTTTAACAACTTTTATCAAAGTTCTGAAGGTATAAAAGTATCTAAGTATTATTCTTGAAAAAACATCAATAGTTTTTTGTATAGTGAAAAACAATTGAAAACAATTTACTTGGATAAGAAACAAATAAGCAAACCTCATTTTAATAATAATAAAATAATTAAATTAGGCAATCCTTATTATTAATAATTCATTAAAAATCTATTATCAAAAATTTATTAAAAATGATCGTCACATCGTGACAAGAAATTTGAATATTTTATTTGTAACTGAAGCAGGATCATGATCACCTCCTTCTTCTTTGCTAAGCCGTCATTTCATTTTGTGATTTTCCAATTAGTTCCAAGTCGCTTTATAAAGTTTAAGGTTACGAGAAGCACTTCGTGATACGATTAGATCAATTTATCAATTTGTTCCCCCATTGATTGTGTAACTTGAAATCGTTAAAAAATCACGAATCCCATTGAGACCAGATACAACCAATCAAAAACGTTAATGCGTACGAACTTAGATTTAAATAATATAGATTCTGAGAATATTCTTATTCAGAATGGGGCTATCATGAATTAAATGTGCATTATAATAAGCCAAAAATAAAGCGATATCATATTTTCTGAAATTATACTAAAATCTCTGATAATCAAACTTTTTCTTAAAAATATAAATTATTAAAAATGAATTATTTCAGTGCAAAATACTCAGATATCTATACAGTTATTTTAGAATGCAGATTATTGGAAACCACATAATTTTTCATAAATTTTCCTTGGAAGTTATACTAATACAATAAATATGTAATAATATTATTGCCTATTATCATCAAATTTTGGCAAATACTTTGGGAATATTAAAGGTATGAATAAAGTACTATCATTATGTAACTTACAGAATTAAGATGACAATATTAACACAAAGACCATCAGTTGCGATTTCATTATTAGAGAAATCTTTCCTTTCGAAATGATAGTAGTGATTATGTGGTTATACTATCATTACTAATACGTACTACTATTAATATTTTGATGTCTAACAAGTTATTGTGGAATTTTTATATTTTTATTTTTCAAAAAAATTTTATTCTTAATATTATAAATTTGCAAATCTTATTACATATTGATCAAAGTTAAAAATAAAAAGGTGTGATCCTTAAGCAATAATTAAAAATAATTCAAAAATAAAAGTCAATAATCCAATATTACATATTGATCAAAGTTAAAAATAAATGATGTGATCCTTAAGCAATAATTAAAAATAATTCAAAAATAAAAGTCAATAATCCAATAACGTATAAAGTTCTTGGCATGAATTGAGGGGAAGATGCAGAGGAATTAGTGGGACTAGTAGATTTATCTGCAGTAGGTGGAGCAGATGTTGATGCTAAAATGATAAGAATTAATTAGTTATTGCTGAAAATTATAATAATAATAATAACAATTAAAATAATTATTTTGCAATAATAAAAAATAAAAAATAAACTTACAAGGATCAGTTGTTGGCTCAGTTTCAGTAGTCGAAGAATTGGTACTTCCTGGAATTGAACTCAAGGGTGATGTACCTGGAATTGTTGGAATGGTAGGCGGTGTAGTTTCAGTAGGATTGATAGATGGTGTAGTTCCGGGAAGAGTGGGAGTGCTGGGTGTAGTTAAAGATACAGAAGGTGTATCTTGGGGATCTGGTGCTGAAATTAAACATTTAAATTTAATCAATTTAATTAATTTGATTAATTTTATAATTTAATCAATTTAAGAGAAGAGAAATTAAATAAAAGTAAAAGAAAATAATGCATACATCCATTAACAATTAGGGTCAATAAACTTGCAATGAAAACGGTAAGAATTAACACGTAAGAAATTTTTGAAGACATTTTTTTGTTGTTGATTTTTTTTTTCGATAACGCTTAAATAACTTAGATGGATATTTTGATAATTTTATAGGCGAATTGATAATATTATTATAATTATATTAAATAAAAATAATAATTACTTGTTTTTATGAAAAAAAAAAAAAATTTTTTTTTTTTAAAAAAAATCAAGTTAATTTAAAAAAAGAAAAGAGGGGATTCCTATTTATTTATAATTTCTCGAATTATTTAAAAAAGAAAATTGCTAAAGCTCACTGGTGAGCTTTAGAAATACACTCATAAATATCGCTAATACTAAAAAAGATGTTAATTACCTCCCACGTAAATGTGTGACAAACGCCAAGAGACAATTCCAAGCGAGTGATAAATGCCAAGTGATGTTATTTATAAATATCCATATTCAAATTTAAAATTTTATATTTAGAATTTATATTTAGAATAAAAAACTATAAAAAAATGCGAATTACTTTTGACAGAGATTGGGACCCTTGTGTAATGGTCAAATTATTTACGTGTTATAGTTTAGTAAAGCGACGGGTCAGATAATAATTCTATCTAAAATGGATTTGGTATTTTACTGATACAGTCAAATGCAATCGCCTTTAAAAGAAAGTATTAAAAGGATATATATATATAAAGCCTAACAATGGTGATAACATAGACATATTATGATTTACTGATAGTATGCATATTTATTATTCTTCACACAACTATTATCTGTTATTATTAAACTGAAAATATCTCATAAATTGATCTATCAAGTAATGATTTTGTGTTCTTGTTTTTGAATTATTTTTATTTTTGCCAAATCGCCAAGCAATATGGCAAAATTTTTTAAAAATTTACTCGTTTTAGAATGATAAAAATCATTAAGGAATTCGTGTGCGAATACAATATACAAAACCTAAGAAAACTAATTTTAGATTTCTTCGCCAGTTAATGACGTGACGTTTCAGAGTACTATTAACATTTAATTATAAATTAAAAAATATATATATTTTATTTTCTTCCTCGATACATTTAATTTACCAAAAATGCATCTTTATCAATATATCATTATTTTTATTATTTTTATTAATTTTTTTATCTAATTCTAAAATTATAATTGCCAAGCAATTAAATTTATCCATTTTTGGAATAACAAAGAAGTAAACTAAGTGCCAAGTAATGTGATAAAGAATTTTAAAATTTACCCATTTTTGGAAGGGAAATCACGCGCATATACAAAAAACGCAAAAAAAAAATTTTTGGAAAATTTATCATTAGGCAATGACGTGACGGTTGAGAATACTTTTAACATTTTATTATAAATCAAAATATATGTATTAATCTCTTCCCCGAGACATTTATTTTATCATAAATGATTATATAATTTAATTATTAATTATTAGAGCAATCGATGAATAAAAAGGCAATAACGACTTAAGTAAAAAAAAATTAATTTTTCTCAAAAAAAAAAATTAGCGTAATGCATTTCGAAAATGATGATCGGCATAAATAAACGTATTAGTGAGATCCATTGATTAAAAAAAAAAAATTGTTCATCCGTTGAGATTTCCTATTGAAATCTTTGGGAAAATATCATTATTACGTAATTCCATTCTAATATGTCATTATCTGAGTGTATAGTATCATGGGTATTAGTACCTGAGATATGTATAAGTTTTTTTAAACCATTCAATCGCCGATGCCCTCAGAATTCCCGCTGACATTACTAATAAAAAAAAAATTCTTTTTACCTTATTGGATGATTCCACCTTTACGGTGAGAATTTCTAGATTATTTTGAAGGACAGATTTCACCTAATATAAAATTACAGACATTAAATATTTAAATAATGATTTATATTTATGTATGTGCAGCTGCTGAAATCGCACAAATCGAATTTAATCTTTATGTTTTTGAAATTCTATAAATTTAACATTATATTGTCTTCATTAATGAATTAAAATTATAAATAGAAAAATTTTTAATTCTTTTCTTAGATTATCATCATATGTGATTATGGTACTGTGGTAAAGTAATTTCGTAAGCATGCAGATTATCCCGGGGGATGATAAATGGTAACACTAAGATGATTGTACGAGGATAATAACTTGTGTTGTCATCCAAAAGATAACGTACAAGGATGAAGGATGAAGTACAAAGGATGACGGGTAAAAATTGAATGAAGGTGAAAAAGTACAAAAGAAGTGGTCGTTGGAGATAGAAAACAGTAGTCTTAGTAGTTTCTTAGACTTCAGTTAATTAATAATTACGGATAGTTTTGAACATTAATATTATTATATAGAAAGGTAAACTTCCTTTAAGGATGGTAAAATAGACACGTAACCCATAATATTTCTGTTGTTAAATGACACTATACTTTTAAATTTGTACTTTAATAAACTTATCTTTTGTGTTGCAATATTGTGAAATATTGTTAAATATTCTTTGATACTGTGTTAACACTTTTACTCCTCCTTACTCACCGAGTCTTCAGATTAAAAATAAATAATTAAAAAGAATTATTATCTGTTTTGAGATAGGCAAGTTTAGAGTGACGGCTTGCTTGACCTACTGGCAGATAGAGTGTATTAAAAAATTAGTTTTTTGAGACAAACTCTGAGACTGATAGGTGAAAGTGTTCGAAATACTCTGCACATTTGTGACAGTAATGTGGTCATAAATTATATAATAATTATAAATTAAATTGTAAAATAAATCATTTTTCTTTTTGCATTTTTTTTTTGAAAAAATATAAATAAATTTAATAAATAAAAATAATCAATACCAATATATAAATAAATTAAAAATAAAATAATCAATAAAAAAATAATTTATACAAGTATTAATAATAATAATAAAAAAAATCAAAATCACTTTAAACTTGAAACTGAGAGCCTAAATTCGAACAAAAAGCAATCCTATCAGCCAAAATAATATATAATGATGTAAATACAAAATAAATAAATTTAATTATATCACATTATTTATTGGAATTATCTCTTTTAAGGCACAGTTGTTCCATTTATATAATTGCATCATAAAATAAATTAATAATTAAGTTTCATAAATAAATATAATTTATAATAAAAACAATTCTACCTTCAGTAATTTCAAAATCAATTTGTTTAGTTTCATAAGCTATATATTTAAACATATACATAAGTAATTTTAATATGGATTATAATAGAGATCTTATTAGGAATATAGAATGGGTTAACTTACCATGTTGCTCTATAAAAATGCGATGAAAAAAAAATAAAAAAAAATAATCAATAAAAATATAAAAATAAAATCAATAAAAAAATGATAAAATTTGTAAAGACCCTGTTGTTCCATTTATATAATTGCATCATAAAATAAATTAATAATTCAGTTCATAAATAAATATAAATTATAATAAAAAATAATTTTACCTTCAGTAATCTCAAAATCAATTTGCTTAGTTTCATAAGCTATATATTTAAATATATAAGTAATTTTCATATGGATTAAGATAGAAATCTCATTAGGCATATAGAATGGGTTAACTTACCATGCTGTTCTTCTATAAAGATGCGATGAAAAAAATAAAAGATAAAAAAAAAATAATTAATAAAAATATAAAAATAAAATCAATAAAAAAAATGATAAAATTTGTAAATAATTACCGTCGGTGGCATTCTTTGGTTGAATGGAAAAATTGAATGTATGTACATTACTGGTTTGAGTTTTATAAATTTTGATTCCTTTGCTTTCATTGGATTTATTATTTTTAATCACTTTCTTATCTTCATATAATGACTTTAAAAATGACTTCATTTTTACATTAAGTGTAATTATATCAGGTCTATTATCAGGATTAGCATCCCAACATTTTTTCATCAATGTTGCATATTCTAGTGGAATATCTTCATAGATCTTTGGTCGATATCCTGAAACTATAGCTAAAGCTAAATGTGAATTATTTTATTATTCACGGTCACCATAAGGAGTTTCACCAGTTATTACCTCCCACATTAAAATACCAATTCTAAATATATCTGATTTTGTTGTATAAATTTTTCCGCAATAAAGTTCGGGTGCAATATATGGGAGATTCCCATATATACTATCTAACGGTTTGTCAACTGACACACTAACCCTAAATCACTAATTTTCCATCGCAAAGAATGTGCATGATATAAAATATTTCCTGAGTGCAAATCTCTATGCACTATATTTTTATGATGAATTTTTTTTAAACTACATGTTATCTCATAAATAATTAAACATTTTTCTAATAATGTAAGTGCTTGATAATTATCTTTTAAAAAACGTCTTAAATCATTATAATAATACTGTAAAACTAATATATAATCATGTGTGATTGGATCTTTAGTCAACCCAAAACACTCAACAAGTCGATGAAAAGTATTATCAAGTGCTAAACTTAATGTCGTCTAATAATTGTATGTAAATATATTGTATGAAAATTTAATCAATATTTCTGAAAATTAAACAAAATTAACAAATATAAGATTGTAATTAAACTTACTTCTTGGAACCAATATATGTTATCGTTATTTGAATTATTTAGTTTTTTAAGAATAATTTTTCGTCTTCCCAATCTTTCTAATATTTGTTTTTCGGCATTCCATCTGTCAAAAGATCCATTTTTCCAAATTGCTGTATAAATGGTAGCGCATCCTCCTTGCGTCAGATGCTCTATATTCTCAAATTGATCATAATTAATCCATTCAACGATACATCGGGGTGAAACAGTTTTTTGTTGGCATTCTTGAATTAATTTGTCAATTTCACCATTTCAAGATGTCCAATTTCCAAAATTAATTTCTAAATATTTACGAATACAAAATTCACAATATTGGGTTGCTTGATGCCAATTCTGACAATTGCTGCATTTTTCTCCTACAGAATTTTTACCAATTTTATATTTATCATATGCTTCCCGTATTTCATCAAGTAAAAATTCCTTTTCATTTTCTGAGAGATATGAACCATTTATAATCAAATTCTTTCGATAGTCTTCACGTTGAGTATATGTTTTATGAATTTTGTTGTCTAAAGTCAAGTGTGATTTATCTCAAACTCTTTTTAATTTATCATTCCAATCGATTTTTTGAGTATCCATTTACTATTTCAATAAAATTTTAATATGATTGAAATGAAGAAATATATAATTAATTAATAAATAATTTATTTTTTTGTTAATTTAATTGCAAAAAAAAAAAAAAAAAAAAAATATTGTAATAAAATTACTGTGGTTTATTTTGATTATGTATATTTAATTTACGCAGAAGTTAATAAAGGCAAATAATGTACTAACCGTTATTGTATAAAATTATTTTATATGATTCAAAAATCTGTGATAATACTGTAATTATGATATTTCAATCGCGGGTAGATAATAAAATGTTACAGTAACAACGCAAACCTTTTTATGAAATTTTAGAATTCTAATAAAATAAAATTTTTATCAGCCTCTTCAATTGTTTCCTTTTTTGGGCAATATTTCAGTTGACTACAAAAAACAAAGTGAGATTTTTGTTTATAAATCATTGCAAGAATAACCTATTTAAAGTAAAATTTATATTTAAACCGAGAGCAATTTTAGGTATTCATTATTTATAGAACAGAGAATTTTGGCGATTAGAAAACAAATATAGAAATATTTTATTATTATTTGTTATTGTTATATTAGTTTCAAAGTGAAGCAATTTTTTTAATATTTAAAATAAGAAATATTATTATGTATTAGCGTAACAATTCGTTTTTATGTTTGAAATTCATCAAAAAGCTAAAAAAAATTACTAGAAATGATAGTTCAAACACTTATTTATTAATTAAAAAAATGTAAAACGATCCATAATTAGACAATGGAATTCTATATATCCGCTAATTTTTTTATCAGTGAATTTTGACTATTTTGCCCCATAATAATAATTTTGACCAGATCACGAATTAATCGTAAATCGGAATCCGCCTTACTGTACGTTATAGTTGTTTGACTAAACCTCTGGGTTTAGATAGGCCGTTGAAAGTCGAAACTGTCGAAACTTCAATAAAACCATATAAAAATCTGTCGAAACTTAAACTGTCGAAACTATATTAATCACTTATTAAAAACTTGTCGATACTAGAGGTTTCAAATTCAAAATGGGTTTCTTCAGCAACTATAATGTACGTGTACGTTTTTGATTTGAAAGTTAATAAAAAGACCCCAAAAATTACTAGTTAATGCTTTTTAATTTTAAAAATTTTATATGGTCTCCAAAAATTAAATAAATAAGTTTTATTTAATCATCGAATTATATCTTATAAAAAAGAAAAAAAGGAATTAGTCGTCACTTTTTCATAACAAGGTAAAAAAAAAATATCTTAAGAATGGACATTTATATGTAATATTTATAATATACGATAAAAAAAAGGATAATAAAAATTTAATTAATTTTATAAATCCGATTAGAGATGCTATTATTTTAGGTAATGCATGTTAATTTCAGTTCAATTGTTATTACTTATTTTATTTACCTATTTATTAGCCCGAACATCAGGTAGTAATACAATCTGGATTCATTTAATATATCTATCTTTTAAATAGGGTTATTTTGGCTACGTATAATTAAAAATTTTAAAATATATTTTTTTGATTCAGTGAAATGATTGTATTTTTTAATAAAATAATTTATAAAAATATAGAAATGGTTTTATCTGATAGAAAAAAAAAATTTTTTTTAATTTTTTTTAATATTTTTATTAATGTATCATATTTAAAAATTTAATAAAAAATTATGATATTAATTCCAATTTAATTGATTTATAGAAATTATATTATATATTGACTATTATATATCACCTGATATTTAATTTGCTATTGCTATGGTGTCAACTCATCCAAAGACCTAAGAGTCCGAAATTTTCTGGTTAATAGAACATATGAAACTCGCCGAATACAGATTTTTTTTAAAAAATCTTTTATAAATTTATTATTCACTTAATACATGATGAGGAATTCTTCTATAATTTTACTGCATATTCAATTAATACTCATTTGATATAAATGCATATAATGCCAAGCTTTTTTTGTATATTTTCGTATTGTATTGTAATTGAATCAACTATATTTGAAGCTTCGGGTACAATTTTTTGTAAATTTTTCCACGAATAATTACAATTTTCGCGAGTTCAGTGTTTAACAAGCCCCCAATTACATTCAATATAATTTATTTCACAATGAAACTAGGGTTAAAAGATGCAAAGATGTTCTGCTTCATGTATTATTTCTTCTAACGCCGATTTTGTCATTACCCACTTGAATATTACAACCTACAATAATTAATGAAGTTAACCAATAAAAATTTAATTTTATGTGACAAAATCGAATGGTGCCAAATCACCCAACATTCGTCACCTACATGAAATTTTACGTGAACCATTTTGATCACCAGTCACAATATAACCAATCAAATTCGAAAATCATGGGTGTCTAGAATAAAATCGTAGACCTGGGTTTAGGTTAAGGATGCTCGTCTATTATTAAATCATATGTTTCATTGTTATCAGTTGGTAATCACACTGGTGTGATTTAGCAATTTAATTTTATTATCATGGATAAGATCAGCTATTTATAATTTTCTATTACAAGCAACAGTTCAATAATTTGAGATAAAAATGATAAATTATTAAATTAATTATTTACATATTATTATTTTTATTTATTAAATTGAATATGACATAATAATTGGTATCTTTTATATAAAGTAAATTTTAAATTGTATGAATATTTTATTTTTAAAAGACATACAAATTTTTATTTTCTTTAATATAGTAATTATAAATACATATTTTTAAAATCTTTTTTTATTGTTTTTTTTATTCTTTTTTTTCAACAGATCCATGCTCTGAATATTAATTAGACGTAATAAATTATATAAACAATAAATCTGTCATTACTATCTATTTTATTACATATGTAAAACCTAAATTACATCAACATTAACATTAGAAATTGAGCTTAAATTATATATTTAAAGCAATTACTGGTTACTATTTCAATTTTTAAACTTGAATATTTTGGATCCATATTGCTTAAGATAAAAAATAAAATAAACAAAAATAAAGGAAAAAAGTTCAATAAATTATAAATTAAATATAACTGAAAACACCTATAGTAATAGAATAATTATAATTATAAAGTAGACATACATAGTGTAGATAATTGGGTGAAAAAAAAAAGATTATACAAGTATTTAAATTTATTAAGTATATTTAATATTTAAGTTATTTTTATATATAATTTAATAGAACAAAAATTAAAAAAAAGTTCCCATTATTTTTGTTAAATATAATAATTATTTTAAAATTTTATAAAACTCCCAATATTTTTTCCAGAAAAATAGTTAAAATGAAAATATTATATAAATAATTATCTTTATTATCTTTATAAGTTATTCATTTAAAAAATAATTTTGATACAAACTAAAAGTACAGTATTTAATGATAAATTCTATTCCTAGAGATCAATGAATTGAATTTTATTTGGATAATTTTATTAGAGATAAATTTTCAAATACACATAGCACATTAAATTTATTAGTTCAAAAAGAACTTTATGATATTGTTTTCAGTATGCAAATATAAATTTAAATTATCATTTTTAGTTTAAGAAAATTCAATGAAGGAAGTTCATTTAAAATATTTTTTTATATTTCTGATAAAAAATCTAAAATATATTATAAATTTTTATAAGAAAATAATAACTTTAATAAAAAAAAGAAAGACTCCTGTAATTTTTTGAATATTATAATTGAAGTTTATTCTTATTATAATAATATTTAAATAAACAAAACAAAAAATAGTGCTTATTCTGAGGGACGTTTTAAATGTTCTAATAATAATAAATACTATTTTTTGCCTATTCAAGTCATTTCATATGAAAAATAAGTAATAAAAAAAACAATGAATTTATTTTGATTTAATAAGATAAAGTGAATACAATAAAATAAAAATTTAAAAATAAAAATTTGGTGTAGATATATTTCTTATATTCCATTCATAACATTCAAAAAAATTTGAAATATAATATATTTCTCTATCTTTTGTTCTGCTTTCATTTGATAACAAGATTTCTTAGAAATTTCTATAACTCCATCAAGAAATTTTAAAAGACAAAAATCTCTGGAAATTTTTCAGCTCAATTATCTTTTGGAAATTTTACAGACATCCAAAATTTTCCAAAAAAAAAATTCACAATATTTTGGAAATTTTTACAAATTTTTTAGAAATTTTGCAAAAAAATCCACAATATTCTGGAAATTTTGCAAAAAAATTCACAATATTCTAAAAATTTTTTGTAAAAAATTTGCAAATTTTTCACATAAAAAATTGTTATATTTTTAATTTTTTTTTGGAAAATTTCAATAAGTTACAATTATATATAAACAATTTTTTCATATTTATAATTTATTATTATTTTATCATATTTATAATTATTATTATTTTATTTATTAATTTTAATATTTACAAAAACTTTTAAAATATATAAAATTTATTCTATTGTTCACTAGTGTCACTTTCATCATCATTATTATCTTCTTCTTCACTATCTTTTTTATATTCATCTTCATTCTTTTTTTTATTTTTATTTTATATTTTTGGTTTTTTCTTATATTATATGGTCAACTCTTGATATAAGAAATTTACATGTGAAATTGATTCTCATAAAAAATTACCATAATTAATTACATTAAATTATATTAATTTTAATGTATCAATTTCAATAATTCTGACAATTACATATTAGTCAAGATTGTCAAAATTTTTTGGATACAGGTTATTTTTTTAAAAGAAACAGTATCCTTTTCAAAATAACTGAAAAAAAGCAGAAAATTTTTTTGTTATAATTTAAATTATAAGTTGATATTAAAAGTGTTATTAAGTAAACTTATAAAAATATAAAATACATATTATGTAAAAATTTTATACTGATTTAATTAAAAACGAGTGATTAAATTAATCTTTTATTTAAAAAATTTCATTAATAAGTAATTACTTAGTTTTAATGTAATCAGTCTGAAAAGTTTACAGTAGATGTTGTTGACTGTGATCTGACCTTCAAGAAATATGATAACTATTAACTAAAGATATGGTAGCTAAACTAAAATATAATAAACTACTAACTAATTTATACTAAAAAGTAAAATGGTTGAAGGATTTAGATGTTATGAATTTGTTTGAAAGAGACAAGGCTATGAGATTTTTATAAGGGTTTAACTAAATTATTCACAAAGAATATAACTAAACTAAACTAAACTGATAATTCTTAACACTAAGTAGAGAATTATAACACAAAAACAGTATACTAAGATCACAAAGCAAGGTATAAATCAACAAGGGTTTCAGTATTCTACCAAGGAACAATATAGAATTTCACTAAGAAATTACAATAGTATAAATTATAATCCATACAAATATTATTTATAAGACAAATTACAAAGTATTTTTATTAACAAGAACTGAAACTAAATTGAACTCAATTGAACTTAATCAAACTTGATTGAACTGAGAACTAAGCAAAGAGAAATCCAGTTCTTTATATACATAATTGAAGTTATAATAGATTACACTATAGACTACACTAATGCATAGACTATTAATTACGTTAATGTATACACTATTAATTACACTTTCTACTATGTTATCTATAACACTATTCATTACACTATTGAATACACCATTGAGTACACTGTACATTACACTGTTGATTACACTTAGATCTACAGTCGTAATATCTAATAGTTGTACCAATTTCTAAATGATTTACACTAATAGTTTTCTATATAATATAAACTAATAAAAATATGAAATCAAACTATAAAATATAGTCATATATGATAATAAAATAATAATATAATAAATAAATAAGATAAAAATATAGAAATAATAAAATTTGACAACTAGGTTCAACAATGTTTTTTAAATTTTTCTATGAGTTTACTTAATAACATTTTTGATTTTAGCTAAGTAAATAAAATGTTTAATATATAACATGCATTAAAAATATTGTAAGCTTCTTTATTAATGAAATAAAAAAATTATGAAAATAAGTAAATATATTATTAAATGTCAATAATTTATATGTAAATAAATTTTTGCTATTCTGTGTAATTATTGATATTGTAAAAATTTTTGTTGAACCCTATAAAGAAGTTCTATTTGATTATTATTTAACTTTAATTCTGGTTTTTGCTTTATGAATTTTATGACATTATCAATACTTTGGATTGATAATTTTTGTTTAATTTTTTTGGTTGATTTTTTTTGAACTTAATTTATAATATTTCTATTTGTTATATTAATATTTTCAATTTCAAGTGAGTCATCAATCTCAATATAGTTATTTATATTAATGACATCTTCATAAAGTAATTGAGAAATTAAATTTTGAATTTCTTGAGTATTGTATTGTTGAAATGAGATTATATTATCAGTTATTGTGCTATTTGAAATAATGCTAGCAATATATAAGAGTGTTTCTGAATTGTCAAACTCTAAAAATTGTGAAGGTAAAACTATATTTGTCTTTTTTCAACAATTCAAAATAGTGTCACAACTAATATTATTCCATAATTCAACAATCCAATCTATAGCATGCTTAATATTAATATCTTCTAAAATATTATTATTAAATTAATTAATTCTTAATTTTATCAGAAGTTTTCTATATTGTGCCTTAAAAGAATGGATTATACCTACATCTATTGGTTATAAATGTGCTGTAGTATTTGCAGGTAATGGATGTAGTGTAATATGTATATAATAAATCTTCTGATTTTAAACTCTAATCACTATAATAAGTAAATGCTTGGTCATATAAAAGAAGAATTGATCTATTTTTTTCACTCATTTGATTATTTAAATTAATTAAAAAATTATTCCAGATTTCTGTAGTCATCCATGCTTTATTATTCAAATAATAGTTAACTGGCAAATCTTCTTTTTTTATTTTTTGTAATGGTCGAGGTGTTTTAAAACAATGGATTACTAATAGTCTTATTTTAGCTGTACCTGAAAATAGGAAAAAAACAGTTAAAATAAATTTATAATTAAAGACAAAAAAATTTAATATTATCAGAAAATTTTTAAGAACGAATAATTCTGTAAATTTATGGGATATAAAATTTCCGTAAATTTTTACATAAATTTCTGTAAATTTTTGTAAATTTTTAAAATTTTTTGATGTAAAATTTTGTAAAATTTTTGTAGAAATTTTTGAAATTTTTTATATCAAAAGATTTCATTAATTTTTATGGAATATTACAAAAAGCTTTTCGTAAATTTTCAAAATTTTTATTGTACAAAATATTAATATTTTATTTAATAAACTAAATATGTAATACAAAATGATTTTGTTTATTTATCTAAATGATCTTGTTTATCTTGTTTCAAACTTTTTCAAAAACTATTTATAAAATTTTAGAAGACAAAAATTTTCTGGAAATTTTCAAAATTTGTTTATTTCTCAAGTATGTGTATTGGTTTTGATGAGGTTGGACACCGTTGCTATCCATAAAATCTTCATTTAATATTGTGTTTCAGGGTCATCCAAGACTCCAACAAAACTTCTTGAGTCCCTTTGGTTTCCTTTTCTTGAATAATGCAATTCTTATATTGCAATGCTTTGTCTTTTCTGTTATGTTCCCATGTAACAGGTATTCATTCAGCAGGTTATATTCATAACTTTATTGTATATTTGTCTTTTCTATAGTTTTCAGAGTAACGAGTAGTTGCTTAGCAGATTATTTATAATCTTGCTATTGTTATCTACGTAAACCTTCTACAATTTACAAAGACAACAGAGTAAAATAATACTAAAACTAATAAACAAAACTAAGTATAACAATAAGAATTACTGATTTCAAGATAAAAAGATGTACAATATGAAAGATTATATATAGAAAGAATTAAGTACGATTAATTATAAAAGAGACGTTGTTACCATATACCTGTCACCCAAATTTAAAATCCAAATGCCAAAATCCTAAATGCTGAAATCCCAAATTCCAAATCCCAAATTATAATTAGTATTTTTTGCCGAAATCCCAAATCCCAAATCCCAAATACTAGTAATTTGGGATTTTGGCGTCCCAAATCCCAAATGATTTGGGATTTGGGCAACACGTATACCCATACCAAAACTAACACTGCCAAACAGCTCCAGGAAACCTTCTTATTTCTTCCATTTATGCAAAACAAAACTTTCATAATTGGAAAAAAGCTACAGGGTTACCCTTTAAACCTGAGCTAGTTTATCCTGAGGCTTATTCACTGAAGTACTATTCCTAAAACAAAAGTTAATTTCGCTGTCTAAGTTTTCTGTAAAAAGACTGAAATCAACTTCACGAAAAAAGAGCCATAAGTATTTAACGTATTCTAGTCTAGTCTTATCTAGTTGTTGCCTAACACAGACTTAAACAACTTTTCTTACTTCACAAATATTTTACTTCAAATTTTACTGTAGAATATGAGCAATGGGAAAAAAACCAGAAAGGTTTTTTTTTTTAAAAAAATAGTTAATAATGTATCAGATGTAATTGTAGAATATAAATCTCGGCAAAGATTTTTAAATTTGTATTAACTGCTTCGAGAATTTTTACAACAAATTCTTGAAACCATCTATTTATATCTATAAAATGAAAACTACTTAATTGAGTAAATGATGGAGCAAAGGATAATCTATCTGATTCCTGTAATCCATAACAACATTCAATATTAAGTTCTTGAAGTGAAATAAATTGTCCAATTGGTGATGATTTCCCATTGAAATAATAAAAATTTACTGTTTTTAAACAAAGAAAATATTTCTTTTTGACTAATAATAGTGTCGCGGTCTGTGCAGAACAAGTGGAAAGTTAAGCCAATCAGTCTCAATAAGTTGGATCAATCACACGATAATTCAATGTACTACTAACACACTTTCTCTTGTGCACAATATCCACAACAAGACAGGCAATCAGTTGATCTAAACCTGCTTACTAACACTCACAAACAATGCAATTACATGTAATATCTGAAGGTACGATAAGCAAGTGGAGTAAAAGTATCTTTAACATTTGCTTGCACATTATCAAAACTATTGTAGACTTTTTGATGTAACTTGCCAAGAAATAAAAGAAATAGTTCATTAAAGTTTAATATTGGAAATAACAAAAACAATATATTACTGCTTTGGTGTATCTTATTACTTTTGTTATTCCGCTACACTAAATTTATGTTCAAAATTATTACAAAAATATAAAAGAAATAAAAGAGAATAACAATAGTGATATATTACTGCTTTGGCGTATCTTATCACTTCACTAATCCCGCGACTATATTATTTATGTATTTTTAAAAAGTATTACGAATGAAAAGTAAAAATAAAATTAAATTAAAATGTTCAAAATATTTAAGTAAAGAAAATAAAGACTAAAATCGAAATATCAAGTAAAATATTTTTATTTTTGGTTCTTGTTCTTTTTGGTGAAAAGGAATCCCCCCTTTTCTTTCTTCCCTACCGCAGCTATTTTATAATTTTTCTCCTTGTTTACCGTCATCCTCTGTCATCTATAAAAACGTTTTCATGCCAGGATGAATAAACAGTCATCCTGGATGATAGATGACACACAAGGATAATTCATCCACACATATCATCATCCATCATCCCCCGTGACTCCGGCTATTTTTGTGCCACCTCAATAGTAAAAAAATTTTGTATAACTATTGTCAAATCTATTTAAAAGCCGAAAAATTTCATTGCTCTTAACCAATTTTAATCATAGTTTTCCCACTTAAAATTTATCCAAAACTTTGTCTAAAATATTATACTTTTTTCAAGATCATAAAACTAGAAATAAATATGAGGGTTTAACAATAGAAATATATGTAATCCCACGAGAGAAAAAAGTTTTTCTAAGGTCAAAAAGGTAATTAATCAGTTAGTTTTTGTATAAATGTAAAAAAAATTGAATTTTTATTTGTAATTAATAAGAAATTTTATATCTTCTTTCTTAACAAAATTGTCTCAAGATCTAAAAAAAAGGGTCACTTAAAAACTATTAATTAGCTATATTTAGTTGTAATATTATTGATATAATTATTTTTTAATTTTTTATTATTTATTATTATTAACAAAAAAGAATTAATAACTTTCATATATTAATTTATTTTATTCTTTTGGAATTTTCTTTTCTTTTTTCATAACCCCAAGCATCTCTAATCTTTTTTTTTGTTCAACTATCCCAATGAGCTAATAGATTTGATAAAGTGAAATCAATTACAGTATCAGTTGGTCTTATATATGTATATAAAGTTTCCAAAATTTTTTTTTCTTCTTTTGATGAATAATGTCATGTAGTTTTAACTTTTTTTTGTGGATGCCTGTTCATTTACAGAAATAATCTCACTTGATTCTTGTGTTGAATTTTCATTTGGTGAATTATTAAAAGGATTGGTACATTTTTTGATATTTTTTTTTGAATTTTTTTTTAAGTCTGCAACTTTTGTAACAACTATTCCTTTTGCACCTCTACCTTTAGTATCAATTGCATGTAAGCATAAAATCTCTTGTTGAAAAATCTTATCCAATCATACAATACCATCTTGATAACATCCATATAATTTTTCAAATCCTTTTATTGTTTATTAATTACAATTTTGAAATAATAGGTGATGAGTTCCATTTTCCATTTCAAATGCTTCAAGTAATTGATTAATTAATTTCCATAATACTTCATGATGTTCTTTAATAGCTTGTGTAGTTGTTGATAATACAATATCATCAAGAAACTCATCTAATAAAAGATTCATCCATTCTTTTTCAGATTGTGTAACTTTAATTTGACATTTCAAATTTTTTTCATTAATTACATTACCAGTTATATTTTGTTTAATGAACTTAACTCCAAAAGTTTCCAATGTCTCATCAAATACAAAGTAATATCCATTTTGTGTCAAGTTGACTGAACTTACATATTTCAATAAGGTTTGAATTTTTGAATTTTTGGTTATAATAGTAAGAAAATGAATAGTTAAATGGGTATAATTTATTTTACCAGCAATAGGAAATAGAGGAGAAAATGCTGATAAGCATTGTACTTGTAATTTACTATTTTCTGAATGAATATCAGTATGATGTCTAGTAGGGTAAAAATGGATATCCTGGCCTAGCACTAGTCATCTTGCTATATTTCACACTCCAAAAACATCACAAAGCATATCAATTTTTGTACATCAATTTGTTTTTTTCGCCATACAGGAAAACCAATAACTATATTATCCCCAAGTATGTGACATGATTTATTTTTTTTGCCACATTTTTATATCAAAATACATTGATTTTTATATATATCTAGAACACATTTAATTATTCAAATTCATTTCAAAAAAAGATATCAATTATTTATGATATACTGCTTGCTATTAAAAAAGAAAAAAATTATGATAAAGATATGAATAAAAATGAATATCAATCCTGATTTTTTTTCAACTTGACAAGCTTAAATTGTATACTAATATTATTTGTTATAGCAGAATTCATTATAAAGCTAATTCTTCACTACTTTTCTAGTACAAAAATTTATACATTTGAATGTAAATTTTTTGATATCATATACTATTTGGTGTAAATTTTTCTATACTATAATCACAACTGATATAAATTTTTTAATATCGTACTTCTTTGGTATAAATTTTTCTATACCTTAATCACAGCTTGTGTAATTTTTTTTGATATTACACTTTTTTGATATAAATTTTTCTATACTCTAATCATAATTGGTGTAAATTTTTCACATAACTCAGAATTCTATCTATATAAGTATTTCATAACATAAAACCCTTTAATATGAGCTCTACATAATCCAGGTTCAGAACTAGTAGGCTTACCACAAACTTTACAACGAACATGTTTTTTTAAACTTCCAATGATCAAAACAACTTTCAGGGTGACAACAATCTCGTCCACAAACTTTACCAGAGTTATGCAAATAATTACAAATATAATCACCTAGTATGATATATAAAATATAAATATAAATAATTTCAATTTAAACAAAAGATCTGGTATATTAATATAAACAACGAATTACCAACACCTATATCTTTAATTTAATAAACATAACACATATTCAAATATCAACTACTACCCAAAATATCAATCAAGTATCTACAGAGGTCAAATCTTCTAAATCTATATGGCAGGATATTGAAAAAGCTATAATTATCATAACACAAATAAGTGTCTTATATAAAAAAAAAAGATAAAAAGTTCATGCAAAATTATAAAAAGTGATATATCAAATTGCATCAAGTTGAAAATTCAAATATCATATCTTGAATATTGCAAAGAGAATATTTTCAAATGAAGAAAAATATATCAAATCGAAAAAGTAATATCAGGAATGGTATAAATATAAAAATGAACTGAAAATTCTTCAAGGCATATTAAAACTTAACTATTTATATTATCAATTAACCAAAGACTATTTTGCTACTAACGAAGAAATTGAAAAAGAGACAGATGATTTTCTCAACTCTTAAGTATTCTTTGAAATGGATATTCAATATTTCTAATAACCATCAATTCATCTCGAACAAAAGATTGCTTTGGTCTATTGCCATCAATATCTTCTAACCAATATAATACCAGTTAATTTTTTTGTACTCTAGATTCTTTAATATAATAAACTTTGGAAGACCAATTCATATCAGTTATGTGTCTCCTGCCAAATTCTAACTCTCCAGGTTCAAGTAAATATAAAACAGAATCTTTATAGATTAACTGAGGTTCATCAAACTTGATAGGTTTACGATGTTTGACAGAAGAATTAGCAATTATTTTTTCACCTTTTAAAGCTCTCCTCACAGCTTCATTAGGAGACATACGAATTAATCAGGTATAAGTATCATTATAACACTGGTCAAAAATTGATAAAACATACACATATCGGATATCCAATATGTGCATGGTACGTCCCTAATATCGGGCGTATATCGGATACCCGTAAAGCTCTCAATTAGTTTGATTCAAACTGAAACCAATCTGCCAGTTTCGGTTCAATTCGGTTTCGGTTTGTTAAATTTACAAACTGAATATTTCAGTTCGGTTTCAATTTGGTTTCAGTTTATTCATAGAAACTGAACCGAAAAACCAAAACCAAAACCAAAAATTTCAGTTTATATATTAATTTTGATCATCATGGTTTCACCATCTATTTTATAATGATCTAGATTTTTTTGACTTGATTATTTTTTTATATAATTATAATGGCCGAGATTATAAGTGATACTGAATCAGGAAATTCACAAGAAAATGTAGAAAATAGTGAACCATCAGTTTCAAATATATCAAGAGAGACCAGTAACAGTAATTTAACAGAAGTAAGCAGTAACAATTTAATAGTAATTAATAATAATAGTGATAATAGTGATAATAACAATAATAAAAAAAAGCTTCTATATATCAATTTTTTACTTTAAATCAAGAGGAAAATAGATACTATTGTAATCATTGCACGTGAGTATTAAAAAAAAGATATATGTTTATTATATAATTATATAAAATATTGAATATTTATGCTTTTTACTCTTTTATTTTAGCAAAAGTTATAAAGCTGCTAAAGATAGTTCAACTTCTACATTAAGAAACCATATTTCTTGTGAATATAAACATTTGAATCAAGAAGTATCTACATCTGGACCATTGGACAAATTTATTAAATCAAAAAAAATATTGGCATGTATAAATTATTAACTGTACAAAATTATCGTTCGATCTCAAGAACAACTTTCTAAACTCTACTTCTGTTACTAATTAAATATATTTATTACATTTAGTAGAATTTCTATTTAAATTTTCATGCAAATTGAACAAATATTCATAAAGAAATTGACATTTTTTAAAAATAGATTAAATTATCAATTTATGCACGAATATTTGTTCAATCTACATGAAAATTTAAACAGAAATACTATTAAATGTGATAAATATGTTTAATTAGTAACAAAAATCAAGTTTAGAAAGTAGTTCTTGAGATTGAAAGAGGTTAATTCTTCAAACTTTATTTTTTAATATTAATTTTAAATAAATAATAGATAGTACTCAAGAAAATTGAACAGAAGATTTAATAAACTGGATTGTAACTGATGATCAATCTTTTACCACTGGTCGAAAATTGATAAAACATACACATATCAAATACCCGATATGTACATGGTGTGTCCTTAATATTAGGCATATATCAGGAACCCGATATATATATAAAATATTTTTCACACCTATCGGGTACCTGATATATGCTTGATATTAGGAACACACCATGCACATATCGGGTATCCGATATGTGTATGTTTTATCAATTTTCGACCAATGTACTGTTGTTAACAAAAAATCATTTAAAATCATAATAAAAAGACTTAATCCAAATGTTACATTACCTTCTAGTAATACTGTTCAAAACAATATTTCCAAATAAAAAAAAAAAAATTAAAAAAGAATTACAAGAAATTTTCTGTTGTATTTCTTTTACTTTAGATGCATGGACTTCAAAAAATCAAATACCTTTTCTTGGAATAAGTGCTTATTGAATTTCTTCAAATTGGAAATTAAAAAATACAATTCTTGATTTTCAACCATTAGAAAGAATACATTCAGGTGAAAATCTTGTAAGAGTTTTTTTTAATACAATAAAAGAATATAGAATTTTGAATAAGATTAGTTTATTTTTGTTATATTATTTTTTGATTATTTAAATATATTATTTATTAATATGTATATTAGATATTAGAAATTACTACTGATAATACATCTAATATAGATACAATGTTTAATTATTTGAATGTTTATTGTACTGATGAAGGAATTACATTTAGTTCTGAAAATTAATGTGTATGATGTCTTACACATATAATTAATCTTGCTGCTCAAACTATTCTAAAAGTATTACAAGGATTGGGACCAGAAAATGAACAAGATATATTAAAAGAATTTATTAATAAATCTTCTTTAGAAGTTATAACAAAATTAAGAAAATTGATGGTTAAAATTAGAGCCTCTCCATTATGACGTGAATGATTTTATTAACAATGCAAAGCTGTTAATATAAAAGAACTTCAATTAATTCCTGATATAAAAATCAGGTGAAATTTTACATATGATATGATTAAGAGAGTAATATTTTTTCGTGAGGTAAAAAGAATTTATATTAATTACTGAATATTGATTTTTATTATATCTAAATATATTTTTTTATTAGCCACTTCA